AGATCACTTTTTTTGATAAACATAGAAATTCATCCTTCTGGTCTTAGAGCTTGAAACTTACATGTTTTACGTGAGTTCCTTCCTCAGGAAACCACTAGCAGCCTCTCAAAAAAGTATTAAAGAAATGAAACACACCAGATCACCATATCCAGACAATGAGATGCTAGACCCCTCATTCATCGTGACTGCTTTCTTGCCCCTCCCTAGTTCCTAGTTCCTACTTTTTTACACATTGTTACATTTTTTCCCTGCTATATATACCCAAAATTTTAGTTGGTCGGTAAAATGGATTTCAGACTGATCTCCCATCGCCTCAGCTGCAGCACCCAATTAAAGCCTTCTTCCTTGGCAATAATTGATCTGTCAGTGATTGGCTCTCTGTGTGGTGAGCAGCAGGACCTAGACTGAAAACTTGGTGTTTTGGTAACACTCTTATAATTGAAAAAGATCCTTAAAACAATCTAATTTGATTCTTATTTTACAAAAGAGAATTTTAAAATGGAAAAATTTAGCTCACTGAATCAAGATTATAAAATTAATTAATGATGGCAGATAAATACAAGGCTTCTGAATTCAAAATCTGCTTTCCATTTCTCCCTACATCCTAGAAGAACAAATGTTTAAAATAAATTGGAGAATTTTTACTTATCTATGTGTGAATATAAAACTTTTTTTTTGTAATAAAGGGTGTTACCTTACAGGAAGCCATAAATAATTTCAAGTCTGAGGTTCAGACTATGAAATCACAATTTTAAATTATTAATACCATGAATAAAACTTCATCTATAACATTTGTTGTAAGAATAACATAAAATATGAATAAAGAAGAGCTTTGGAAAAATAGACTTAAGATACTTTAAGTTTGGAAATGATATAATTAAAATAATTAAAAAGACAACTTTTTGATATGACAATAGTAATTAGTAGTAATGAGATAATGTTCCTGGCTTATAGATGATTGTATTATCTTATTATTTTCTATTAAATATGTCAATATGTGCTACGAGGAGTCTATTTGTAATTCTGCATTTCTAGCTTGTTTCTAAGATGAAGGTTACAGATATTTATATTGCTTTTTCTGGTAGATATCAGACAGAAAAATTACTGCTTTTGTTTTCCTTTGTCTTCCACCAATATTGTGCTAGAAAAGCTATATTTACAGTTCAATGTTCATAGTTTCTATTCTCTTATTTTGGAAGTACATATAGAAATCTACAGGAGCAAAAACTTCAGACTGAAAATCAACATAGGAGGAAGGAAAAAACTTTTCAGAAGAAGTTACAGGGGCAGAGATTTCAGATCCAAGACGTATTTACATATAAATACCACAGAACATTAACAGACAGAGGAAAACTCACATGTCAATTTACAGAGCATTGAAGAAAAGAAATGTATGTTTTGTGGAACTAAAGAGAAGGATATAAGTGAAGCGATAGTAGGAGTTAAGGCTACAGAGGTGGGATTCATGGGCTACACCTGTTGATAGAAACTTCATCTTGACAATGAGGCTCAGTTGGTAGAGTTTAAGTTTAAGTTTGGTCAGCGTGACTGCAAGATGGGAGATGCCTTAAACCTCTTATTGGATATAAAGTCAATGTGAAGTTTGATAGGAGTACTGTTGAAGTGAATGTCAGGCAGGTAGGAAATAAACTCTTCCAAGTGTGACTTTCCACTATGTAGATGGCAATAGAATATTAGGTTAGAAAGAAGAAAAGTTATTGGGAAGAGACCTATCATCTGTCAATGACAGCAAGGAGGGGTAATGGGCATTATAATTATTTTTTGACATGAGCTTCAAAGGAAAACAAACTATTAAGGAGGAGGAAATCTAGTTTAAAAATATAAATGAGAATCTAATACTCCGCCAGCCATATCTCTGTGATTAATGATGATCACACACCCTGCAAAGTTTAGTTACAGTCCTGTCAAGCTTGCTGAACCTGGTGTAATATTGAGTTATCTGATTCTTGAGATTTCCTTTTTTGTTGTTGTTTTTTTTATTTTTATTTTATTTTTATTTTTTTTTTTTTGAGACGGAGTCTCGCTCTGTCGCCCAGGCTGGAGTGCAGTGGCGCCATCTCAGCTCACTGCAAGCTCCACCTCCTGGGTTTACGCCATTCTCCTGCCTCAGCCTCCCGAGTAGCTGGGACTACAGGCACCCGCCACCTCGCCCGGCTAGTTTTTTGTATTTTTTAGTAGAGACGGGGTTTCACCGTGTTAGCCAGGATGGTCTCGATCTTCTGACCTCGTGATCCGCCCGACTCGGCCTCCCAAAGTCCTGGGATTACAGGCTTGAGCCACCGCGCCCGGCCTGTTGTTGTTTTTTGAACTAATGTTGGTAAATTGTATCTTTTAAAAGAATCATCCATTTCTGTTTTCAAATTTTGCATACCTTTAAGCAAAGTTGTCTCCTATGAATCTTACTTTTTTCTATTTCTGTGTAGTTTCCTCATTAGATTTTATTGTGTAGTTTTACTCGTTCTTTTTTTCTTATTAGGTTAGATAGCATTTTATCCAATTAATTACGTCTTTATTTTTGTTGTGTCTTTCCAGAGAACCAGATTCAGACTCATTTATTTGTTTTATACATGTTTATAATACATTCATGTTTGATATTATACTTATTAATTATTTTGGGGATTTCTTATGTTTTTATTTGTTTATTTTATGAAGTATTATGACAACTATACCTAATCTTGATAGGATTTCTCAAAAAAAAATACAGACTAATTTTATTAAATAAAATATCAGCAAGCATATAATATCAGCTTATTTCAAGAGAAAAAAACATTATGTCCTAATATAATCTATACCATGGATGCAAAATAGATCCATCTAAACCATGGATGCAAAACAGGAGCTATAGTAAGATCAGTCACTATATCATCAACTCAAGAAGAAAAGTCATTACTGTCCTCATATATGATAGCTATTTATTTTATCTGAGAAAAGCACCATTACTATTTTTAAAAGTCAATAAAATAGAAATAGATGAGTATTTTCTTAATGTATTATTAATAGTTTTAAAAACCATAGACCAAACTAATGGGGTAACACTGAGGCAGTCTCATTCAAGTCACAAACGAGATAAGCATTTTTATTGAAAGTATACTAGGAAATGAAAGTAAAGAAAGAAAATGGAGGCCAGGCATTGTGGCTGATGCCAGTAATCCCAGCACTTTGGGAGGCCAAAGTGGGAGGATCAGTAGAGGCCAAGAGCTTGAGACGACCCTGGGCAACAAAGCAAAATTCTGATTCTACAAATTTGTTTTTAATTAGCTAGGACTGGTGGCCTGAACCTGTAGTCCCCACTACTAGGGAGGCTGAGGTGGGCAGATTGCATGAGCCCAGAGTTTGAGGCTTCAGTTAGCTGGGATTATGCCACTATACTCTAGCCTGAGAGACAGAGTTAGACTTTGGCTGGGGGGATAAAAGCCTATTTGCAATTAAAACAAAAGATGTAGAAACAGATCAAGCAAGAAATGTACAGAACTTACATAAAAAGAGAAAAAGCCTGCTAAAAACACAAAAAATGCATGGACAAATGCAAAAATGCAAATGCAAAATGTTCTTGGATAGAAAGATTCAACATTAAACATATATAATATATTCCTAAGTAATTTATAAATCTCCTGTGTTCCTAATAAAAACACAGTTAACAAAAACAACAGGAACACTGAACTAGCTTATTTAAAGTCAAAGAGAAAACTTAACAGAATGAGAAGGAACATTTTGGAGGGAAAACAGCATTGAGGTAAGTTAGTAGCACCGGAGGATAGAGCATACTATGTAACCTTAATCATTAAAATTGTGTGGTAATAGCTCATAAAATATAAATGATAGAATTGAATAGAACATTTAGATCAAAATCAAAATACATAAGAAAATATATGATATAATAAATGCAACATCTCAAATTTGTGAGGAAAAGATGAACTATCCAATGTTGTTCATCTTTGGATGAATATCACAATGTATTTTGTGGGGACCAGAGATTATTTGACTGGAAAAAACTATGACTGCATTAATACCTCCTACTGTGTACTAGGATACACCCCAAATACAATAAGGATTTAAATATACAATATGAATTCACATAAACACTAGTAGAAAATTCAGAATAATTGTAATCTGGGCTTAACATACCAATATAAAAAACTGATATACTTGCACACATTCAAAATGATGCATGTTCAGTGTTAAATATTTCTCCATTGTCAGTAAAAGAGGATACATTGAAAAATTTATCAATAATAGACTTCTTCCACAGTTTTATACTTATTAAGGAATACGAGTTTATCAATAATAGACTTCTTCCATAGTTTTATACTTATTAAGGAATATTACATAACTATGAAAAAAACAATTTGAAGGATTTATCTAGTATTTACATGGAGAGGATCCCATGATACATTCATTGTGAATGGAAAAAAAAACCCAGCAAAATGAAGGAGTATATTAATATTTATTCATATTTTCTTGGAATGATACTGAAAATCTGGAAATAATAAATTAACAAAAGGGATTTCTCAGGTGGGAGACTAGAAAGATGTAATTGTAATAGCAGGAAATCTTTTAGCTCACTCTGTGTGTGTGTGTGTGCGTGTGTGTGTGTCTGTGTGCGTGTCTCTGTGTGTATATACATATTCAAATATATATATTATTTTATATAACTATCCATACACTCAGAAGTTACTTTGAAACCCTGAAACATGACATGCCACTGACACATATGTTCATTTCTTTGAAGACAAGAGCCTTTCTCTCTCTGCAGCCTTACTTTTCCATAATAAATTTGAAATATGCCTCTGATATTGTCCTTTTCCCACAATTTAACCAAATCAGTCTATGCATGCTGTTCCCGAGACTCTGGTCTCTCTGCTTTTCTGATCTAATTTAGATGTTTATAGGATAAAAGACTACTTGCCGCGGTTCTTACATTTAATTACAGGGTTAAATGGGCCCGATGAAAAGACTGCATTGGTTCTAATGTAAATTACCTTCTCTCTGCAGGAGGAGCATTATCCGCTGCTTGGACGGTGAGTGCGTAAGTCCGTCCGACTATCATTTCCACGCCCGGAGCGATGGTGATAAGCCCTGTTGTTTTATTGATGATGAAGTCTCCCTGAGCCCCAACAAGGATTTCATATGTGATCTCCCCGTTTGACCCTTCGTCTGCGTCGACTGCAGTGAGCTGGAATTGAAAATCACAACATAAATCCACTTAGGACACAACTTTTCACCACCATGTCATTTATTCCTCCAACAAAAGGAGCTGGCTTTCAAATAAAAAAAACAGAGGAAAGTTTGCTTGATATATATACTCTTGGGTGTTGTGTTTTGTTTTGTTTTGTTTTAAACTGAGGCTACTGTGTCCTGTTACAATACTGAAGCAATCACAAGAATAAGAGTGATTTTTTTTTTTTTTTTTTCTGTTAGAGTGATAAGAAATAAACTTTGGATCTTGAAGGTTTATCTTTATTTTAATTTAACAAAGGGAAAAAGAGGAAAGCCCTAACAGAAAATCAAATATCCCTATAGGAAATTTATTTTTTTTCCTTCTTACCTTGCGTTCTTGACACATAAACTCATATTAAAACAGACTGAACCTGGAAAAATGAAATAGGCATAGTCTGCTTTTCTTTCTCCCAACCTTCCTTTTACTCTCATTTTTCCTTCCATAGCTTTCTCCTCCTCATAGAGTCTCCTCCCAGAGACTCTCGTCTTTGTGTCCTTTTTGTTTGCAATTGCTCTAGGAAAGATTCTTAACTTGCACCCCCTGATTTATAAAGGACTGATAAGTCATAGAGTATTAACGTGTCAACAATCAAACAAATGCATCTCCCATTGTAAGAATATCAAGGGTAACATAGCCCAAGAAATGTTTCTTTGAGGAAAGGAAGTCTATTTGGAGCCCTTAAAATTAAGCATGTAGACATCTGTATAACTAATTTACATATATCTATAATCATTTTGATGCAACTGATATCTAAAAGACTTTATTTGGGTTATTATATATGAAAAGATAACAATGATTAACTTCATCAAGCAACATTAAAGTACCAGTGACTTATTATATTAAAGGTGGCTCCTTGACTTGCTGATAAATATAAATTAAAGGAGAAAAAGGATATAAAGGGATTATAGTGGGAAATCTTATAGTAAGTATTTTACATACATCAACAGTATTTTCTGTATTTATCATACAAAATGTGAAGAATGAAAGAAAGGTGGTCTCAATTTACACGAGTGAATATAATTAAAAGTTTTCTGTGGAATAAAGAAAACACACGTAATTGTAGTAAATTAACATGTAGAAATGTTTTATTTATTTATATTTATATTTTCAGTACATTACTTCTAAAAGTAGTAGTTTTTATAGTTTGCAGACTCCTTTGAAAATATGGTGAAGATGCTGACATACCTTCCTTGATCAAATGTAAACATGCACATTTACCTTGAAACTGGAATTCAATTTCAGGAACACCATGTTAATTAATTTCCCATTCAAAAGTTCATGCTTAATATCCTCAATAAATGTAAACAAAGTACTTTATACACTGCACTATGCTGAAGGGGTTATATTATGCATATTCTATTTTTTATTATGCGTCACGCTTAGAGTGATAATGTCCACATAAATAGCAGCAAAACATAATTGAGAATGAAAAAGGAAATGGCATTAATGCAACTAAGTCCTGAGGCTGGGTATCTGGGGGTGGACAGATGTGGTTGCCAGAAGGAAAGGCATTTTATGATATGATTCTGGGACTTGTATAAGCCTGACAGACATACTCCTAAAGGCAAAGGAGAAACATTTGCAGAAACAGTCAAAATGAATGGTATATATTTATAGAGAGCTATTCAAGCCAGACAAACTAATTCTCTTTTGTGTATAGATAAAATTAGAAAATCAGAGGATGGGGATAACAGAGGAGATATCAATTTTGATTATACTTAAATCAGTTAAAATGTCTCAGGAAATCTTAATTAAAATTTAGCTCAAATTGGATTCAATATTAACATTCTTCCTGGGACTTAAATTGGCTAAAGGAATGTAATGATAAATGGCAATGCATCAAGTTAAGAAAAGGTGTTAAGGAGTGTGCTTCAGGGATGTCAGCATTATAGCTGGACTTATTTAACATTTGCATAAGTGATGTTGGAAAGGAGGATAAGCTGGATGATAATTACATTGAGGAAGGTACCCACCTGGGAGATGCTAGAAATACCAAGTAGTACTACAAAATACAGGAGACAGAAACAACCCTTACGTTGCAGAGCTAGTCAACCACAGTTGAGCTAAGGTGTTCAAGGAACACAACTAGCTCTGCAGAAATTATTAGGAGGTAGAAAGTTTAACAAGTAGACAAAACAAGGATTCTATGTTTAAGTTACCTAAATAACACTATTTTTCAGTATGTTAGTACTAAATAAAATAATGGGTTATGAGTCAACATAATTTGCACGTATGCTAACAAAGATATTTTAAGGAAATTAATGGTAGTCCACCATCAGAAAAAATGAGCTGAGTACCGAAATCATAATAGTGTCTTCTTTGTAAGATCCTGAAAACTCAAGACCTTTTGAAGCATTTTACATACATCAACAGCATTTTCTGTATTTATCATACAAAATGATACATCATACAAAATGGAGTATATCATACAAAATGTTGAAACCTCAACATTGGCAGGAGAATCGCTTGAACTTGAGAGGTGGAGGTTGCAGTGAGCTGAGATCGTGCCACTGCACTCCAGACTGGCGAGAGAGTGAGACTCTTAAAAAAAAAAAAAAGTCCAAAACCTCAACGATATTACACAGTAGATGTCCCCTTCTGAAGTCTATTAGACGATGTTGAATGGAGCTGTCAATACTAATTTTGGAGCTAAGCTATGGCAGGAATTTAATTCAATTATAGTTCAATGACTCTGTGACCAGTAGATAGTGTCTATGAGACGGAAATAAATGAAGCTCATTTCTAATTTAGTGGGGAAATCTGCGTCCTAAATGAAAAGGGCATTTATTTACATGGGGAAGCCAATGTTTTGCTTACAAGTTTCAGATGAAAGTAAAAACAATTCTATGACTTTAAAGTGTTTATTGAAATGTTGTGATATCTAAATGGTAAGAAATTGTGAGCTTTTTTTTTTTTTTATTTCTTTTCCATGATGTTTTACAGTTCTTTTCAGGAACTTTAGCCCTACCCTTTCATAATTCCTTCCTCTCAGTGTTTCAACATGTGCATATTCCAAATGTCCTCATATGTATCAGTCTGTTTTCATGCTGCTAATAAAGACATACCTGAGACGGGGCAATTTACAAAGGGAAGGTTTATTGGAATTCCACGTGAGCGAGGAAGCCTCACAATCATGGCAGAAAGTGAAAGGTGCATCTTATGTGGCAGTAGACAAGAGAAGAGAGCTTGTGCAGGGAAGCTCCCCTTTTTAAAACCATCAGATCTCGTGAGGCTTATTCACTATCACAAGAACAGCACAGGAAAGACTTGCCCCAATGGTTCAATTACCTCCCACTGGGTCCCTCCCACAATACGTGGGAATTCAAGATGAGATTTGAGTGGGAATACATTCAAACCATATCATTCCAACCCCGGCCCCTCCCAAATCTAATGTTCTCACATTTCAAAACCAATCATGCTTTCTCAACAGTCCTCCAAAGCCTTAACTCATTTCAGCATTAACTCAAAAGTCCACAGTAAAAAGTCCCTTCCACCTAAGAGCCTGTCAAATCAAAAGCAAGTTAGTTACTTCCTACATACAATGGGGATACAGGCATTGGGTAAATACAGCCTTTCCAAATGGGAGGAATTGGCCAAAACAAAGGGACTACAGGCCCCAGGCAAGTCCGAAATCCAGTGAGGCAGTCAAATCTTAAAGCTCCAAAATGATCTCCTTTGACTTCATGTCTCACATCCAGATCATGCTGATGGAAGAGGTGGGTTTCCATTGTCATGGGCAGCTCTGTCCCTTTGGCTTTGCAGTGGACAGCCTCCCTCCCAACTGTGTTTACGGGCTGGCATTGAGTGTCTGCAGCTTTTGCAGGTGCACAGTACAAGCTGTAGGTGGATCTAGCATTCTGGGCTCTGAAGAACAGTGGCAGTCTTCTCACAGCTCCACTGGTCAGTGCCCCAGTAGGGACTCTGTGTGAGGGCTCTGACCCTGCTTTTCCCTTCTGCACTGCCCTAGCAGAGGTTCTCCAGGAAGGCCCTACCCTTCAGCAGACTTTTGCCTGGGCAACCAGGTGTTTCCATACATCCTTTGAAATCTAGGCAGAGGTTTCCAAACCTCAATTCTTGACTTCCGTGTACCTGCAGGCTCAATACCATGTGGAAGCTGCTGAGACTTGGAGCTTGCAACCTCTGAAACCACAGCCTGAGCTCTATTTTGGACCCTTTCAGCCACAGCTGGAGTGTCTGGGACACAGGGCACCAAGTCCCTAGGCTACACACAGAACAGGGACCCTGACCTGCCCATGAAACCATTTTTTCCTCATAGGTTTCTGGGCCTGTGATGGGAGAGGCGGCTGTGAAGACCTCTGGCATGCCCTGGAGATATTTTCTCCATTGTCTTGGGGATTAACATTTGGCTTCTTGTTACTTATGCAAATTTTTGTAGTTGGCTTTAATTTCTCCTTAGAAAATGGGATTTTCTTTTATATTGTGTTGTCAGGCTGCAAATTTTCCAAACTTTTATGTTCTGTTTCCATTATAAAACTGAATGCACTTAACAGCACCCAAGACACCTCCTGAATGTTTTGCTACTAAGAAATTTATTTTGCCAGATACCCCAAATCATCTCTCTCAAGTTCAAAGTTCCACAAATCTCTAGGGCAGGGGTAAAATGCCACCAGTGTCTTTGCTAAAACATAATAAGATTCACCTTTGCTCCAGTTCCCAAGAAGTTCCTCATATCCCTCTGAGACCACCTCAGGCTGAACTTTATTGTCCATATTGCTATCAGTATTTTGGACAAAGCCATTTGACAAGTCTCTAGGAAGTTCCAAATTTTCCCACATCTTCTTGCCTTTTCTGACACTCCAAACTGTTCCAACCTCTGCCTGTTACCCAGTTCTAAAATTGCTTCCACATTTTCAGGATCACCCCACTCTACTGTATTAGTTAATTTTCACGTTGCTGATGTAGACATACTTGAGACTGGGCAATTTACAAAAGAA